TTATCAATAGCAAACTCAATTATCCATATAAATAAGTTTTATTTGAGTACCTTGATGTGATGAAAAATGATATTGCTGCCAGAGGCCTCCAAATATATCGGCACAAAATGATCTTTAATCNNATTTATAAAATTCTTCTATATATCTATATACATATATATTTATAAATACAGTGTATGCTCATTTTGATCTTAGAATTTTCTTCTTTCTATTCCTCTTTAGGCATCCCAATATAGTTCACAATTAAGGCGAGCGAGAGATGTCCACACCCATGCGAAAATCTTTGCTAGGAGTGCTCAGCATAGTCTTAAGTCTGCTGTTAGTTCCTTTGAGGATCTCCATCTTTTTCCAGTTCTCGCACAACAATGCCTAATAGAAATTTTGGACTCAATTGGAATCAAACACCTAACATTAAATGAGGAAGGCGATCGATCAGTTGCTAGCTTTGCTTTATACATGAATTGTCCTGTCCTGAGTAATGATTCTGACTTTTTGATAATGTCAGCACTGTATCCCAAGCAATATGATGGTATGTTTATTTGTATTATTATTTTACTTCATATTTTTGTCAACATTAATTTAACGAATATAGGAAACTGATTATAATTATGAAATTCATCTTCTCCGGCCTCTACTTATGTCGTTGTAAATATAAATAAAACAGTTTATGCTGCGAAAATTGAAAGCAGCATTTAATTTTTACTGTGATCAAAATAGAGCTTGTAATTGGTTTCGGCTTTTTTGTCCTATTTGTCAGGGAAGGGCGAATTCGATCTTATTTCCTTGTGGGGACTTTACCTTGCTACATATGCGTTATTAAGGCACCGACTTTCATATCAGGTGAATTCCTTTGCATTTCGCATTCTTGTTACTACTCAGTTCTATAAGATATCGGATTTTATTTTGGTAAAAGAACCTGACTAAAATGTAGAACACTTTACTTTAAATCGTTTCCTCCTTTCTGATATTTATAAAAGTATTACAATGAATTTATACAAATTTGTAGATATATTTTAATTTTATATATGATTAATAATTGAGCTTTGAAAAATCTTTTGAAAATTTA